TATAACCTGGACTGTGTAAAATCTTGCTTGATTTAAAGAGAATTAGTTTTCATGTTTGCAGTTAAAGCAGATAAGTGAGGGAGAAATTTGTATATGTTTCCGTGATGAAACAAAATATTCCTGGCATCCGTGGATGTTTTCCGGTTTTTATAATAACCTTTCTTTTACATGTTGTGCAAGAGTGCTGTTGTACCGTTTATTATTAGATCTGTTAATTGTTCACGAGAAAACTAAGTTATGCATTATGTCATTTGCCTTCTATAAACTCTTTACTCAGTTCAGTAATATAAGCTGTTCCTTGACGGAATTATTCGTATTCGTTTAAAGCTGTACTTTGAGAACGCTTTCCAATAATATGGGTAGTGTTTTTCCATGTCATTCTCGTAGTGTAATAGAAATGGGTGTACAACATCATTGAAATTTGTGAAATATCGGAGAATTTTGGATCCTGAACTGAATGCCTCTTCCATTATCATTTTACCTAAGCTAGGTTTAAATGGTATTGGGATATTTAATTATGCTATTAACGTGTGTTATTTTCATATTTCAGAACACTGCTGTTTCCTCTGCCTAGATACTGCAAATGCACGTACGACTGATAGAAGCTGCCCTAGTCTTCCGTATTTTGGAACAGGACACGGACTGGCACTTGCAAAAGTTACATGTTGACAATCGTTCATGATTTTCAAAATGATAGCTTTATATTAAATTTTCTGCATACTGAAATGGCACACTAAGAAAGATTGTGTTTCATTTTCCTTAAAATCAGACATCAGTTATTTTTATTATCAAATTATGCCATAAGGATTGATCGATATAAATAATAAATTATATCATAAAACTTTAATTTGATTCCTCTTGACCAGTCAGTTTCTCTTCAATTTTCTTATGTTATGCCATAGTTTCATAATAAAAAGCTATATTAAATCTCAGTGTTTAAATATAACAACTTTCAAATTTAAAGGTAAAAAGGTCAAGTTGCATTTTCACCAGATCGCAAGTTGAAATTCGAGTACGATTATTTATAATAGTTTACTCCTGTATTATTCAGTATGATGATGTACATAGTAGAAGAAAATTTTATATTATCATTTTTAATTTTATATTATCATTTGAATGTGACATTTGTGAAAGACAATCAATTTTACCTGAATAAATACGCTTTTAAAGGACGTTTTCAGTTTGATTTTAAAGATAATAGAAGTGAATGTAGTAGAATTGCTATACTTTGGATTTTAAGAACAATGTACTCTAGTTGGAACGTGACAGATTGGGCGAGTCCATTTGTTTTTGAGGGAAGGCAGGTGGGTCTAGTCCTCTTAATTTAGCGGGGTGACGGGTGGGTCGAGTCCATTACGTTTTTGAGGGGTGACACGTGGGGCAAGTCCATTTTGCTTTTGAGGGGTGAGAGGTGGGACGATACCATTCAAATTTGAGGGGTGACAGGTGGGGCGAGTCCATTCAAATTTAAGGGGTGACAGGTGGGAAGAGTCCATTTTGATTTTGAGGGGTGACAGGTGGGACGAGTCCATTCAAATTTGAGGGATGACAGGTGGGACGAGTTCATTCAAATTTAAGGGGTGACAGGTAGGAAGAGTCCATTTTGATTTTGAGGGGTGATAGGTGGGGCGAGTCCATTCAAATTTAAGGGGTGACAGGTAGGAAGAATCCATTTTGATTTTGAGGGGTGACAGGTGGGGCGAGTCCATTCAAATTTAAGGGGTGACAGGTGGGAAGAGTCCATTTTGATTTTGAGGGGTGACAGGTGGGACGAGTCCATTCAAATTTGAGGGATGACAGGTGGGACGAGTTCATTCAAATTTAAGGGGTGACAGGTAGGAAGAGTCCATTTTGATTTTGAGGGGTGATAGGTGGGGCGAGTCCATTCAAATTTAAGGGGTGACAGGTAGGAAGAATCCATTTTGATTTTGAGGGGTGACAGGTGGGGCGAGTCCATTCAAATTTAAGGGGTGACAGGTGGGAAGAGTCCATTTTGATTTTGAGGGGTGACAGGTGGGACGAGTCCATTCAAATTTGAGGGATGACAGGTGGGACGAGTTCATTCAAATTTAAGGGGTGACAGGTAGGAAGAGTCCATTTTGATTTTGAGGGGTGATAGGTGGGGCGAGTCCATTCAAATTTAAGGGGTGACAGGTAGGAAGAATCCATTTTGATTTTGAGGGGTGACAGGTGGGGCGAGTCCATTCAAATTTAAGGGGTGACAGGTGGGAAGAGTCCATTTTGATTTTGAGGGGTGACAGGTGGGGCGAGTCCATTCAATTTTAAGGGGTGGCAGGTGGGGAGAATACATAACGTTTTTGATGGGTGACAGGTGGGGCCAGTCAATTACATTTTAGGGGTGATAAGTGAGATGATTAAAGACCATAAGAGCATTTACTGCATAGGACTACTTGTAATTCAAAATTGGTTTGCAAATACATTATGGAATTGGAATTAATTTGAATATTATTTCGAACAGACCAACCAAAATGTATACAAATAAATAAATTTCAAAAAATAGGACTTGGAGGCATGCGATCAGTTTTATATCATCACAATTAAATTCCCAAATTCCTGGAACAGCCAATGTCATTTATCAAAAAAGCAGCATAATCTTTTCACTTGATCATTTTATTCAGATTTGTAATTGAATTATATATACAAGTATTTAGATAGTCAAATTTGCCATAGCAAAAAAGCTATGAATTACATTATGAAAAGTGAGAAAATGATAATTCGGATGATGGACAGATTTGTTCTAAAGTACATTGAAAATATCATGACATGGAACAAAATTAAACTTCAAAAAGCTGGTTTGTAATTACACTTTATGAATTTGTGTTTATAGAAAATCTTTTGGTTCACCTACAGCCTTGCAGCAGACTTTAGATTTTTAAGTACTCAAAAACTATCGTTTTTTTTTAATACACGGTACGTTCGCAAAGCTTTTAAACTATTTCACTTTCAAATATTTTCATGTACCAAAGCAAATCGTCAAAGCAATACCAAGGACAATATTTACAGATTATATTAGGTACATTGAATTTGAAACTCCTGAAACGGTTATTATGTTTATATCTTCATACTCCTTTTCTGTCTATTACTATAATCAATATCATAATTTTTTATATCAAAATAAAAAAATTCCAGACAAATATATTTATTCAATTCTTATAAAATAAATGCCTGAATAGGCGTAGAGTTCCTGAATGTGAACCAAAGGTAAGGCTGCTAGCAGGCGCATGTTGAGCTGTACCTCGGTGGGTTTCTGAAATGAGAAAATTATTTTTAGCAATTTTTGAGTTAAACTGACAGGCTCTTAAATTATTACTAATGAATGATATTTCACACGGGATGATTTAAGCACGCATTGGCTTGTCCAATATATAAGCAAGCAGGAAATAAGTCGAGCTTCTCTTATGTTCAACATCATCAGAAATGTATGAATAATATACTTGGAGAATACTCCTGGAATGCAGACCTCCAACAAGTAAATAGTAACTTAATACTACTACTACTACTAATAATAATAATAATAATAAATATATAAAAATACTAGGAAACCCAGATTCAGTCGAAATTGTAATAATTTCTTTCCCATCTGAATATCTGTGCGTTTTGAAAATTTCATCAAAATATGCAGAAGACATTTAGAAATACCTTGCTTAAAAATCATATGAAAAGACAACCCATTTCATTTGCGGATAGTAATTACGCATACTATTGAATGTTATCGTTATGGATCAAGCTCTTGGAATTCAGGGCAGAAACCGCAAAATAATTACCTATTGACCGCCATACAAAGAAATGCCTGCAAAAATGCATGAACAAAATTTAATGAAATATTACCTATCCCCATGGGCAGCAGACACACTGACATAACTCCCAATGGCACAAAGATTTACTGTTGAAAAGCTTTTCTTACCGGCAGTATTTGATCACATGGACCCCTCTTGTTTGCAAACAAACCACTGCACCGCTCACAGTCAGTAGCCCCCTCCGCCACAGACCCCACGCTGCACGACACCCGTGTCTGGTCCTGAAAAAAATATGCATAGTTTACACCTTAGCCTATTAGTTGACACCAGAATTAACCAGAGAAGCAGAGGAAGTTTATTCACAGCCACAGTGCCATATTAATAAAATATCGTTATATAGTACATGTGGACAATTCTGAAGTAACGTGCGCAAATTTTGCCTGTTACATATTGTCGGGATTTCTAAGGCGTTATACGTTTTATTAACAGTGTCTTTTGTAGATTTATAGCTCTTCCTCTTTTTCGACTGAACAAACGATAAATGTACTTAGTTTCCTATATGCATTTTACATTATGCGGCTGCAATGTCTCTCCTTCCAGAAGTCAACATTTAAAACTAGAGGATCAGAGAGGCGATACCGCCTCCAGATATTGTACCACCAGCTGGAGTAAGCGCATTCGAATGGAACCACCCCCCCCCCCAAAAAAAAAAAAAAAGGGACACCACAACCAGTCTTGTCCTTGACAAGCTCTATGCAATAAACAAGAATTTTCAAAATATGCGAAAAAAAAAAGAAAGAAAAAACAACATAACATAAAAATGGTCCAATCAAGCGGATTTTCCAATTGGCCTNGGTGAATTACATTTTAGGGGTGATAAGTGAGATGATTAAAGACCATAAGAGCATTTACTGCATAGGACTACTTGTAATTCAAAATTGGTTTGCAAATACATTATGGAATTGGAATTAATTTGAATATTATTTCGAACAGACCAACCAAAATGTATACAAATAAATAAATTTCAAAAAATAGGACTTGGAGGCATGCGATCAGTTTTATATCATCACAATTAAATTCCCCAATTCCTGGAACAGACAATGTCATTTATTTAAAAGCAGTATAATCTTTTCACTTGATCATTTTATTCAGATTTGTAATTGAATTATATATACAAGTATTTAGATAGTCAAATTTGCCATAGCAAAAAAGCTATGAATTACATTATGAAAAGTGAGAAAATGATAATTCGGATGATGGGCAGATTTGTTCTAAAGTACATTGAAAATATGACATGGAACAAAATTAAACTTCAAAAAGCTGGTTTGTAATTACACTTTATGAATTTGTGTTTATAGAAAATCTTTTGGTTCACCTACAGCCTTGCAGCAGACTTTAGATTTTTAAGTACTCAAAAACTATCGTTTTTTTTAATACACGGTACGTTCGCAAAGCTTTTAAACTATTTCACTTTCAAATATTTTCATGTACCAAAGCAAATCGTCAAAGCAATACCAAGGACAATATTTACAGATTATATTAGGTATATTGAATTTGAAACTCCTGAAACAGTTATTATGTTTATATCTTCATTCTCCTTTTCTGTCTATTACTATAATCAATATCATAATTTTTTATATCAAAATAAAAAAATTCCAGACAAATATATTTATTCAATTCTTATAAAATAAATGCCTGAATAGGCGTAGAGTTCCTGAATGTGAACCAAAGGTAAGGCTGCTAGCAGGCGCATGTTGAGCTGTACCTCGGTGGGTTTCTGAAATGAGAAAATTATTTTTAGCAATTTTTGAGTTAAACTGACAGGCTCTTAAATTATTACTAATGAATGATATTTCACACGGGATGATTTAAGCACGCATTGGCTTGTCCAATATATAAGCAAGCAGGAAATAAGTCGAGCTTCTCTTATGTTCAACATCATCAAAAATGTATGAATAATATACTTGGAGAATACTCCTGGAATGCAGACCTCCAACAAGTAAATAGTAACTTAATACTACTACTACTACTACTACTACTACTACTACTACTACTACTACTACTACTACTACTACTACTAATAATAATAATAATAATAATAAATATATATAAAAATACGAGGAAACCCAGATTCAGTCGAAATTGTAATAATTTCTTTCCCATCTGAATATCTGTGCGTTTTGAAATTTTCATCAAAATATGCAGAAGACATTTAGAAATACCTTGCTTAAAAATCATATGAAAAGACAACCCATTTCATTTGCGGATCGTAATTACGCATACTATTGAATGTTATCGTTATGGATCAAGCTCTTGGAATTCAGGGCAGAAACCGCCAAATAATTACCTATTGACCGCCATACAAAGAAATGCCTGCAAAAATGCATGAACAAAATTTAATGAAATATTTCCTATCCCCATGGGCAGCAGACACACTGACATAACTCCCAATGGCACAAAGATTTACTGTTGAAAAGCTTTTCTTACCGGCAGTATTTGATCACATGGACCCCTCTTGTTTGTAAACAAACCACTGCACCGCTCACAGTCAGTAGCCCCCTCCGCCACAGACCCCACGCTGCACGACACCCGTGTCTGGTCCTGAAAAAAATATGCATAGTTTACACCTTAGCCTACTAGTTGATACCAGAATTAACCAGAGAAGCAGAGGAAGTTTATTCACAGCCACAGTGCCATATTAATAAAATATCGTTATATAGTACATGTGGACAATTCTGAAGTAACGTGGGCAAATTTTGCCCGTTACATATTGTCGGGATTTCTAAGGCGTTATACGTTTTATTAACAGTGTCTTTTGTAGATTTATAGCTCTTCCTCTTTTTCGACTGAACAAACGATAAATGTACTTAGTTTCCTATATGCATTTTACGTTATGCGGCTGCAATGTCTCTCCTTCCAGAAGTCAACATTTAAAATTAATAAGATTGCATCTTCAAGTTCACGGCGAGGTGTCAAGATTCGGATTTGCCCACGCACATTTTCAGTGACAAATTGAAAACATTTCTCTGCTTGGAAATTAATAAATTAAAAAATTAAAACAATAACTTTATCATTTTTATACAGACATTATTTCTATTAAATGATAACTTCAAATCTAACAGTTCAGTTACGAAAAGGGACGGGTACAACCCCGACCCCAAAAAATACATAAACTATCCACACATAGGCCCTATGATCAAATAGAGCACTGTACTACGACAAAGTAACATACAATTACCAAAAGAAGCAAACCAGCATCATGCAGGGCGGACGCTTAGTATGGATTTAATTTCTATGCGAAGTTTCATAAAAAAGAAGCTAATCTTATTCGACTTTAAATTTGATATGCGTTTTGGAGAAGAATGTAATTTGTGTCAGTATCCTTTGCGTTACAATTAACAAATCGCAATTCAGCTTTAAAATTACACAAATATATATATTTATATTTAACCTTCATGGAAAGCTAATGATATCAGAAACAAAAGGGTTCCCAAAGGCACTGAGGGAAAGCTAAGAGAAATTATCCTTCCCGTCAGTTAGATGTCATTATGCCTAGAGTGCACCTTTTCGGAAAAAGATCGTCAATGCAAAACTAAGAAATGCTACAATACATTTTCTATCATCTGTACGAAACTTACAAAATATTGCTGCCGGTTTCAGTGCCATCTTTTCGGCCAACATGGCAGTAGCAGTAGTATGGCATGGACATCTTTCTTCTTCATCTTCTACTGACTTTGGTCCTATCTGAGCACCTCTCACCAAAACGCTCACCTGATTTACATAACGATGAAGAAGTCACCTACTTTCCGTGCGGACGCCTCGGTTTGAATTATCGCCTGGTTTATGAGAAGGCATAATGTCTTCATCCCAAAAAGAAGATTAGATTTTGACAAAGTCATAATGACACACATACAAACGACAAAAATAAATAAATAAAAATGCATTTTCAAAGTCAACATACCTGATATTGCGTGATTGGACATATAAATTAGCTTTCATAGGTCGAACGAACGAACTGAGGGGGGGATAGGGTGCGATAGAAAAGATAAGTTTTTCATTCAATCTTATGGTACAGCGTAACCGTAAAGTTATTGATATTTCTTTCTTTCTTTATACTTCTTGAAACGTAGACACTTTCAAAGGAAAACATTTAAGTATGCACGTTTATTAAATTGTCATGCATGTTACATCCATAGGTAATTTTCCATTAGCAAACTCTACAGAATTAATATTTAACTGCTTATGCACGAATAAAACACAACTATTAAGACTGAGCATAATAATTTAAAGAATTGGTCTATTATTATATCAAATTTTCTGATTTTGAAAATTCTGAAAGAAAATGTTTGGCGCATTGTTTCATTATATCACTTTTAGTAAATGTAAGTGAACTAGATTTATGTGGAAGTTATTTTATTGTGGGTAGCCCCAGAAATAAATTACACCACAGATAAAAATACAGCTGTATGAGAGATGTTTGTGAAGATCATTGCTAGTACAAATAAGAATTTAAATATTGTTCACAAGTTAAAATGAAGGAAACAATTTCTTGGAAAAAAGATTGACACGAAGCTGCCAGACTGCATTTGAAGATTTAACGTTTTTTCTCTTACAGTTGCTCTTTCACTTCATTATGTAACTCGATAAACTTGTAACACTAAGAGATAAAAGATGGTTTTTCAAATGGAGATGATGATAACAGTTAACTGTTCTTTCTTCAAGCAAGGTGTGGCAAGATGAATGAAATACCAAAAAGGTAAAACTTAAGCACCAAGACAAAATATATAATGAATAAACATTATCAATAATATCAAAATATATAAGGTATGTCTTTGTCATTGGACCCATTCTTTAAAGGAGCTGGCTCAATTTCTTTTGTCATGACACTGATTTGAAACTTGAATTAAAGCATCAGCATATTGTACAATGACTTTGTCCAGCCATGTCACAGGTTCTGGCGTAAAACCACTGCCTGTAAAAAATCCAAGATGGCCTCCATGCTTGGTCACAGCAAAAATGCAATTCTCGTGAGNGGAGCCGCAGGAGCCGGCGGAGCCGGCGGAGCCGGCGGAGCTGTACGAGACGGGTCGGGACTAAAACCATGAGTACCGCCAGCGTACACGCTGGTGGTACTAATTACACCACAGATAAAAATACAGCTGTATGAGAGATGTTTGTGAAGATCATTGCTAGTACAAATAAGAATTTTAATATTGTTCACAAGTTAAAATGAAGGAAACAATTTCTTGGAAAAAAGAGTGACAGGAAGCTGCCAGACTGCATTTGAAGATTTAACATTTTTTCTCTTACAGTTGCTCTTTCACTTCATTATGTAACTCGATAAACTTGTAACACTAAGAGATAAAAGATGGTTTTTCAAATGGAGATGATGATAACAGTTAACTGTTCTTTCTTCAAGCAAGGTGTGGCAAGATGAATGAAATACCAAAAAGGTAAAACTTAAGCACCAAGACAAAATATATAATGAATAAACATTATCAATAATATCAAAATATATAAGGTATGTCTTTGTCATTGGACCCATTCTTTAAAGGAGCTGGCTCAATTTCTTTTGTCCTGACACTGATTTGAAACTTGAATTAAAGCATCAGCATATTGTACAATGACTTTGTCCAGCCATGTCACAGGTTCTGGCGTAAAACCACTGCCTGTAAAAAATCCAAGATGGCCTCCATGCTTGGTCACAGCAAAAATGCAATTCTCGTGTGATGCTGAAAATAAAGAGTTCAAGAGTTAGCTGACATAAGGACTGACTGAGTAAATGTGCATCAATAATGAATAACAATCTTTAACAGCTCACTCATACTGACATGTAATACACACAAAACTCTGCTAAAAAATCACAAAATACACATGAAAAATAGAAGCTCAAAATTTTCTCCATTCTTTTTTCATCCGTGAAGTGGTTAACACAGTGAAAGGATTGGAAAAATATATAGAACAAAATCTGGATTAAGACTATATAAGTAATAACCTAAGTGAATTGTATCAGTTTAATCATAAGTAGTCAAAAATATTCATTATAGTCATATTGTAAAGTCTACTGAACATAATTTGATTTTAGGCTTAAAAATGTTTGAAAAAGAAATAGTATAAATTGCCTAGCTTACTGATATTTGAAATGTGTTGGTGTATTAGTCACGGATAAGAGAAAAATCATTTAATAACACCAGAGTGGACAGAACTTTTACTTTTACTCTGATATTCTGAAAATAGAGATCACAATGTTTTGTCTCTGATATCTACCATTGACATTAAATGTGGCATTAGCTGTACTTACTAACAAAGTCATGGGGCATGTCATGCAAAGCAGGAGGCACCAGAGGATCATCTGCAGAATTAAGAAAGAACATGGGAATCTTTATCTGAAACAAAACAGAATCTGTCATCATTAAAACCATTCAAATTGTTTATCCAGAAAAAAAATCATTTATTACACAAAGATTTCGTGAATCTGTTCATGGATTTGGTACATACAAATGTACCACTTACAAAAATGTCTTTTGTCTCGGTCAATGCAAAGCAGAATTTAAAGTACTCTACATGGGATTTACCTGCCAAAATGAATTTTCCTCAGGGGTAAAAAAGCAATTTAACCTTGCTCATTAATCATTGACTGATCCATCACTGCACTTGGATTTGATACAATATACTAGTTTTGATATAACAAATTACTTCTAAATGAATTCTGATTCGACAAAAACTTTGCAACTTTTGCCTATTGCTTTCTATTCTGCTTCTTCCCCATCTTGTAGCCCTGCCACATATTAGCTGGTATAAAATCCCTTGAGTCAAAACTTTTTAATCCAGGAAAGTACTGTTAGGTCAAATATCATTAAATTATGGAGGTATGAATTTGAAAAGTTAAAATCTTAATTTCAGGATGCATTTCATTTCAATTTAATATGAACTCACAAACATTTTCTTGTTTAAATTACATAGAGTTACCAAAAATGCTCTCACTGCAAGTTTCTAGTTCATATGTATATATTGGAACATTTGAAAAATTACAATATATAAATATTATTATTTTTGTTTACCTTATCCATGACGCTTCTGCAGCTACACCACCTATAATATTCTTCTATGGAGGAAAATCCAGCTCTTTTCCTGATAAAATTGTCAAAAGTAGGACTTAAAAGATGATTCACATGTGGCCATACACTAGTTAACTAAGTAATCTTAGTAAGTCACAGCCAAAGTATGCTTTTTTCAATCAGAAGATCTAGAGTAAGTTTGATCAATTTTACAGTAATAACCATTGCCAAAACGTCTAAAAATCCCACAGGAAAATGGATTTTAACTAACATCCCCATCTTAGTGCACCACACCTGCTATATAAGTCATCTAATTCCACTAAAGAAGTTGCTGCCAATATCCTGTCTGTGTCGAACTTGCCGTGCAGTCTTTCACTGTCAGATCCAAAGAGAATGTCTGCATGAGTACGCAACATCTTCTTTTGGTGGAGGGTCATAGCAAATATGTACCCACGCCGCAAGTGCTCCCAACTTAGCATGTATGGCTGACATCTACAATAGCCAATATCAAACATTTACTTTAAGTGCCAATAATTGTTTCTCCAGAGCAGCTAAACATAAGGGTTATACTTATAGCCCTCAAATATTTCAGTTTCTTACAAGACAGCTTCATTACTAGTAGGTAATTTATCTATATGTATAGCAACCCATACCTTGTTTACGTAGCTAAAATTTTATCAACATTTGCTTTCAGCTTAATTACACAGTATTTTTAGCATAAGTGACAACATACTGATTACCTTTTCAGAAAAAAATGCAATAAAACTAAGTTTCAGAACTCTAGGTTTCAATTCTACTACCACATAGATCCCTACCTTTCCACATCATAACCCTGACAAATGGACAAACCACATAAGAAGTTTTTTTGGTTGGAGCTTTTCTCTCCCAGATATTTTACAGCCAGGTTGCCTCCCATGCTGAACCCCACTGCTATAAACTTGCTGTCTGGATACAGACGATGGACCTCTTCTACCATTGCTGCATACTCATCTGTCCCTCCTTAAAAAGGGATTTGCTTATTCAAAATTTTATTGCATTTTGTTTGGAAAGTTGAGTGATAATTTGGTTATCTGTGGCAAAATCCCTGTTAAATTTGGGGAAAATATATTTTTTCTTTCTGTCATATTTCTGACCAAAATCTGTGCCTCATAGACTTAAGTTTTTATCAGTCAAAATTGGCATGTTTTATGAAAATCTAAGAGTGATAAAACATGCTCATAAGGTAAATAAAATTAATCTAATGATTATCAATTGCGAAAGCACCAAGAAGATTTCAGTACCTGTGATAAGACTTATGACAGGTTCCCAATATAACATGCACAGGGTACAGTTCAGACCGAGTTATATCGACTTACAATGTAGCTAATGCACACCAACTCAATGGAGACTCTTGCTGAATGCAATCAGATTAACAGACTAACACTGAGTATTATAATTAGGAAGAAACTGGTGATTACACAAGTATGTTTGAAACAGTCTATTTATCTGATTGCATTCAGCGAGAGTCCCTATGTGCGATTAGCTAGGTCAACATAACTCATTCTGAATAGTCCCACACACAATTTTTAATGATACCATTTTTGTAATTCAGATTTAATGGATATGTTATGATCAAATTAAAATTAGACCAAAAACTTAAATATGAATGATACAAAGTGAAGAGAATTCAAAGGTCTCTATAAAACAGACCAAACTGACCATACGTGAAAATTCTGGGAGAGGTAAGTTTTATGGTTTGGATGGCCCCCAAATGATTCAGCACTCCTACTCTGTAACCTGCATTCTGGGCGTAATCCACAAATGTTCTGATGTACACGCTTTCACTGCTATTGGCTATACCTGGACATACTAGCATGGTATAGTCTCCTGGAAAACACAAACAAGGCAGCAAAGCTGTCAAATGTACAGACAAAAAACAGAAAATAAAGATGCAAAATAGGTCATTTTGTCAATTTTGATGCAATAATAAATAATGCTTATAATAACACAGTCAGTTAACACTGATTTTTAATCATGCACAACAGGTAACATGGTCAATAACAGGAGCAGATCCAGAGATATTTTCTGACAGTATTCCAAAAGTATCTTTGTTGATCCATCCTCCACTTTTGATGGTCTTCCAACAGAAAAAAATTGATACCAGTCAATGTAAACTTTAAAATCTGACCGTCATCTTAAAGACCCAGAAGACGGCCTCAATCCACCCCTGCAATAAGATTACAGTTTCTGGACTATGAGAGTTCAAATTCACATAATGAAAATCCCAATATTTGAAAAATGTTGACAGTGCATAGAATAATATTACATAATGTTTAAAGACATAAAAACCTATGCAACTGCTTATGTGGAAATACAGAAAATCTGAAGAGCTTCAGGTGGATGGGAGTTGAAAATGCCAGTGTTTAGAAAAAAAATTAAAAAGAAAACACACACACACAAAAAATTCCAATAAAGCTGCTATTCAAACTTTTAATCTTGCTGTATTAACATGATATGAATAACCCCAATGTGTTTGAGGATAATAAGGCACTGTTATTCATCTATAGCATTAATGTTGGCATTACACAAATTTTTTTCTTTTGTAAACTTATTTGCATTATTAAACAACATTTACCTGCATAATTATCACCAATTCCTAATTATGTGACACAGTTAAGAGAGCTTAACCTATAGAAAATGGGTCATTTTGTCAATTTTGATGCAGTAATAAATAATGCTTATAATAGCACTGTCAATCAACACTGAATTTTAATCATGCATAACAGGTAACATGCTCAATAACAGGAGCAGATCCAGAGGTATTTTCTGACAGTATTCCAAATTATATTTGTTGATCCATCCTACACTTTTGATGGTCTTCCAACAGAAAAAAATTGATACCAGTCAATGTAAACTTTAAAATCTGACCGTCATCTGAAAGACCCAGAAGACGGCCTCAATCCACCCCTGCAATAAGATTACAGTTTCTGGACTATGAGAGTTCAAATTCACATAATGAAAATCCCAATATTTGAAAAATGTTGACAGTGCATAAAATAATATTACATATTGTTTAAAGACATAAAAACCTATGCAACTGCTTATGTGGAAATACAGAAAATCTGAAGAGCTTCAGGTGGATGGGAGTTGAAAATGCCAGTGTTTAGAAAAAAAATTAAAAAGAAAACACACACACACAAAAAATTCCAATAAAGCTGCTATTCAAACTTTTAATCTTGCTGTATTAACATGATATGAATAACCCCAATGTGTTTGAGGATAATAAGGCACTGTTATTCATCTATAGCATTAATGTTGGCATTACACAATTTTTTTTCTTTTGTAAACTTATTTGCAATATTAAACAACATTTACCTGCATAATTATCACCAATTCCTAATTATGTGACACAGTTAAGAGAGCTTAACCTATAGGACTTGAATGGGAAATCTCAACGTGTGTTTTATGTAATCTTATTTAATGGGCACTTGAAAATCAATTAGGCAAGTAATTTTATAGCTCTGAATTTAGCTAGTGATTATCCCAAGGGACAATTACCACCATCCATAAACAGTAGCCCCATATAGCACTCCATAGAGCTGCATTGCTTCCAAAACAGAAAACAATCACACTGATTTCCAACACAAGCTACACTTCAGTCCTATGAAACTTTTCAGTAAGTTAGAATATCATAAGTAAAATGGTTTTTCCTTAATGGTCATCCCAGCAGCGATGTCCAAAAAAGGTTTTTTTTCATCTTTTATGCAATTTAACATAATGCTTAACAGCACAATGGCCATCAATTTTTAATAATAAAGTAAATGTATCATAGCTATTCAAAAGATGTGACTAGCAATGGTATTCAAGCCAATGGAAGTTCAAAGACTAAGTCACACCTTGAAAATGTCCATATGTGAAAATTTTAATTGTAACAAAAAACTATAATGCTTAACAGCATAATGACCATCAATTTTTAATAATAAAATAAAAGTATCATGGATATTCAGAAAAATTGATATGGAAAGGTCTTCAGGGCCATGGAAGTTCAGAGTCACAACTTCAAAATGCCAAAATGTACACAAGAGATAACTGTACTGAAATGAATTTCTTTCCACTTTCAACACTTTTTTTTACATATATATATCAAAATAATCAATTTACTGTCGTTTTTAAATGATCAACTAAGAAAGTTGTTGACATAGGAAAAATATCAATAGAACAATTTTAAATGTCCAATTTGTTCCATTCTGAGATTCTGAACATGGTGAATGATTGAATCTGACAAACTGTAAAGATATGAGTTTATTTCCATTTTTGACACTTTATTACACAATGCACAATAACAGGTTTACCATCATTTTTATATAATCAACTAACAATATTGTTAAGATGCAGAAAATGTCAAAAGAACACCTTTACATTACTAATTAGTTCACAAATGAGATTCTTAACATGCCTATGAATTAAATCCGAGGAAAAAAGACTTATATACAAAAAAAGGCACAATTTCACCAAAACTGAACCGATCAAGCTTATTTTCGAACCTCATCTGTATTTTAGTAAATCTGATCACCCCTGTGAATTTCAAGACGATTGGCCAATTGATTTTCCTTGAAATGTGTTATCAGTGTTGCACATATGCTGAAATAGTGAAAAAACAGCATAACTTCCATAAAAATGGCCCGATCATGCTGATTTTCAAACTTGACCTGCGTATTTTGAATATTCATCAGTTTTGTAAGTTTCAAGCCAAAAGGTAAAATGGTTTTCCATTTATGGTGTTATCGGTGCTGCATATATGCTGAAAAAAGTGAAAAAACAGCATAAATTCCCTAAAAGTGACCCGATCATGCTGATTTTCGAACTTGACCTGCGTATTATGAATATTCATCAGTTCTGTAAGTTTCAAGCCAAAAGGTAAAATGGTTTTCCACTTATCGTGTTATCGGTGCTGCATATATGCTGAAAAAAGTGAAAAAACAGCATAAATTCCCTAAAAGTGACCCGATCATGCTGATTTTCGAACTTGACCTGCATATTATGAATATTCATCACTTCTGTAAGTTTTAAGCCAAAAGGTACAATCGTTTTTCACTTATCATGTTATCGGTACCTGCGTATTATGAATATTCATTAGTTCTGCAAGTTTCAAGTCAAAAAGTAAAATGGTTTTCCACTTATCGTGTTATCGGTAAAAGTGCACGGCGCCGACGGCGCCGACAGACGCAGATGATGGCTATATGTACAGACACATCTGTGTCTGTACATAAAAAGGAGAGAAAATGTTTAAGTGTTCAAGGTCATAGGTCAATTAATTACATGTATGTGTGCATACGGTTTATACCTTATAAAATACTTAAAATTTAAGCAAAAGATATTAAACTTAAGATTGATAAGACATTTTATTTCTTAAAAACTTAATAAAAATAATGAAATTAAACAATGAAAAAGTATCAGCAGCAAAAACAAATCTGTGAGGAATAACCAAATCCCATAATCTGTGAGTCTTTTACAGTAACTCAGGGGGGTGGGCATATGAAGATTCATGTCAAACTGACCTTTTGTTACGTGCTTCTTCAAAGGTTCAAATATGTCAAATGTAAGTGTAGCACCATCTCTCATGATAATCTTATGTCTTTGTCCGCGAGGAAATGGAGACTGTATTCTGCCTAGCTTTCCATACACTATAGTTTGCAGGTGCCCACTTCTCCCCCATATTAGTGGAGGCATGTAACTAACCAAAAAAATAAATAAATAAAATTTATAAATAATAATAAATAAATAAATAAATAAATATTTATTTTAGATCTATAGATTATTTCCTCTTCTTTACACCTCTTTCCCTCCAAAGAACTTTTAACATTTTTGTTCCTACCAACTAGACTACCAATCTGCTTCAGAAAACTGACAGGTGGAGTACTCAGTAAATGTTTATATTTTGAACATCCTGTCATTTTAGTGGGATATGAAAGTTCATGAAGAAAAAGATGTAACAGAGATGTTAAATGCCATGGAAGACTTAACAAGCTTTTTCGCTTACATCTTTCAAAAATTATAGATAAATTTATCTATTACTTTCTCTTTTTTATTTTGGAGATTTTGCTATAATTTTAATTAACATTTTTTTATCAGCATGATTCACTGTGAAATTTTTGTCATCAGATTTATATTGTTTTACCTTTTGATGTTATGATAAGGAATCAAAACATCAAAAGGTGAAAATATATAAATCTGAAGACAAAAAGAATGACTTAGACATGATAATTAATTTTTTCACACAGACACAAACTCTCTCTCTCTCTCTTGCTTTTGTATACATTATACTGTATGTAAAATATGCAGTATATGAAGCAACAACTTACACATTTTTCAGCAGTGGACAGAGATCCAGAATTTTTTCAACAAAGTCTGATGGCCTGAAGTATAACTCTGGTTCAGAAGGCTGGCTGGCTAAGTGGAGGGCACGGATAATTATGCAGCCAATTATAATGACACAAACTGTCACTATATTGGGCGTCATACCAAGATCTTGCCAATCTTCACTAAATACAGATACCATTGTTACACTGTTGATACCTAAGGAAAAAAAATTGATATCTCAAAAATAAGTTACAGATACCATTGTTACACTGTTGATACCTAAGGAAAAAAAATTGATATCTCAAAAATAAGTTAAGATAACAGTTACATTGAAAGAATTAATTTATCACCTTAACATGTCAAGTGCCAATCAAATCCATGAAATGTTTATTGATTAATACATTCATTACATTAAGATTTCACATACTTGCATATCAAAAACAGCTATATTGAGTATACAAAATGTTGTACTTTACAGAAGATATCTCAAATGAACATTTCTGTCATGAACCCATACAACTTCTACAGGGATAGCAGTTTTGTGTAATTATTCATATAAGAGATAGCATTTACTACCTGTAGTATTAAAATGTTGTAGAAGTATGGGTAAATTTGCTCTGCTTAAACAGAATGAGTAAAGGTAGTCATAAAAAGACATGCACATTATCGGTTGGCCTATCCACTCACTCAAACTAGATCAGTGAGGATAGAAAACAAATTTACTTGTCTAATGTCAGTATTTACTTGACAGCATTGAAAAAATGCAGATAACGTTAATGATTATTTGATGGTTCATTTACTGGGATACTGTACATGACCAAATATACATCTGTTCCTGCACCCGACAACATACATCCCTAGATGAAAGTAAACGTAAAGCAACGGTCCAAAGTCTAAGATCCAGTTGGAAGGGCAATTCTAATATACTTCAGCCGGATTAACTATATTCAATAACATACGTCATCATACGGTCATGATTCATGGATTATTGATGATTCGTTTTCAGCAGGGGCTCCGTTTTTCTGAGGTCTTTGTGACCTTTGTACCCATTTTACTTCGGTACATTTTTTGTAACACGTAATATTTGTTCACACAGCCGATTAACTGAGCATTCATTTACAAATTTAAAGCAAGGCTCAAAAGACATGAAAACGTTTGACCAAGACTACTACAGTTACAAGAGTTGCACACATTAAGTCTGGTTTTCCATTTTTAAGTGCATCGACACTTTACATATGTCAAAGTTGACTAGGTTACATTAAACACTAGGGGCACTTTTAAAATGGATATCTCATTAGCTACATTATATATACTCACTTATTGAACAAAAAAGGCGAACATTCACCTCCAGTTCCGTCTGCTATGGCGCTTTTGGGACCACGTGGTTGACAGGAGCAAATAAGACAACAGCCCATTTTCACTCCGTAGCATGTACATAAACATTTATTTACTTCCGGGTTGGATTTGCACGTGTGATAAGCCGCATTGGAAGCACATATTTTAAAGTTTCTGCTAAGTAACCTCCACTGTCTTCGTGTCTCTTCCTTTCTAAGTAACTGCCCAAATATATGATAGAGGAGGTAAATCAAATAAAAAAGTTTAGTAGTCTTTTAGATCTAGGCCGTAGAAGCACGAAATTCTACGCGTTGAAGCTTGTCTGTTATGTACATTTGATGGTTTCTTTTCCAACCGCGCAATTTTCATGACATTCAGTTTTTGTTTCCACAACGATCCATGTATGAGGATTTAAAACCAAAACTGGGCTGGTATGACAGAAAAAGATCCACAAATGCAGTGTGAGCTTGATCTCATCAAACAAATTTTGTTTTGGAAAAACGATGGAAATTAGTAGGAGGTATCCAACTTGGGTCGCTGTCTAAAATTATTCGATTTTTTTTTTGGAGGGGGAGGGTTCCTCAATCAAGACTTGATTTTAGATACAATTTATTTCGGTACATTTTTGTACTTGTTTTCCATATGTTAAATGAGTCATCTGCTCAATTTTAAGAAATTCTTATTGAAAGGAGGAGTTCAAATTTTATTATTAAAAGTATAAAATGTTATACATATTAAAAATATATATTAATTTAAATATATTATGTCCATATGATAAATTTGAGTCGTCTGTTCAATTTAAAAAAGTTCTTATTAAAACGAGTTTACATTTTATTATTAACAATATGATACAATTTAAATATAACAAACCTCAAACCTTTAATCTGTTAAATAAAAATATCTGACATCCAAGTGGGTTGTTCTCTCAGTGGTAAAATTAAATATGTTACATTCTTTATATATCTCCTAACAACTCCATTTAATAATTCCTTGCCATAGGCAGGTTGAAGCTGCATAGTGTTCTGTTTGAGAATGATCAAACAGTTTGTTCTAAGCCCTGTATGTGAGCATGTGAAAGACTTAAGAAAAGTTGCACTTTCCCTGTTACAATCATTGGATTCTGATAGGAATTTTACCATTTTGCTTTTCTTGCCTATTCTCACGTGATTTTTGTCATCAAATAATTATATCCAACAACTTGATTGCATCTGTTAAGGGCAGCAGCTTAACATGTTCAGACATACTTCATACATTTTTTGTCCTTGGTGAACAACATACTGCATACATGCCTAGGATCTTCCTTAGCAAACTGTACCACATCCAAAATATATTTCCAGTCTTCATCAATCCCTTACCTTAAAAAAGTAAATATGAATTTTGAGGTTAGTTATAATTTAAACTTCAATGTGAATTTTAAAATATTCATATAAATTACTTCTCCATAAGTTAACAATTATACATTCACCTCACCACTGACCTTACTCTCAGGTCAGTTGAGGATGTTAATCACTGCAAATTTTACAAAGACCATACCATTCATTGTTTATTCTGTTTATCACACCACAAATAATGTCACAGTGGTAAATGCCTAGTCTGGCTTACTTTTGTCCACAATACTGGTACTTCCTGGTCAGGAATGAAATGATGAAAAATGGTGTACAAGGTCCTTAAGTACGAAAACCTCTCCATGCTTAATCCTAGGATCCATAGATATAAAGTCATCCAGATTATTTGTACACTCTGAAAAGCAAACAAAATGAACCATTTATACTGTAAATCTATTTCTGCTGCATGCATGAAAGACAGATGTACCGTAGTTAAATATGTTTCAGAGGCTTCCCATCAAGAACATAAAAACTGGACCCATTCCTTTCATTATATTACTGCTGGGTGTTAAAAGATAAAAAAATTACTCTGTGATTTAAATATATTTTGAACAAAATTATGGACATTGGCTTACCTTCTGTTTTTATACAAGGGTAATCAGGTGGTGGCATTTTCCACTCCCCATCTGAGAACATATGAGATCTATCAGAAGCAAAGGTTTCTAAAAATATTTTTGCTGGGATAACTCTGAAATACCTGTAAGGAAAGAACAAATGAATTTTTCATTATTTACATAGAAAAAAAATCGGAGGATAAAGAAGCACAACATACTTATGAATGAACATAAATAAACAACTGGATAGAGAATCAAAATTACTATTTTTGTTGGCATAAAAGGAACTGAAGAAGATGGGTTCACATCTGAAATTAGCTGTTAACTAGTTATAACCATAGTGTTAAAAAACTGTAAGCTGTCAAAATCACAATTTTTTTAATATTCATCATCAGTCCCTAAACTCTTAAATTAAAACACGGCAGCAAAGCTGTCAAATGTGCAGACAAAAAGCAGAAAATAAAAATGCACAAAATAGGATACTGTCAATTCTGATGCAATAATGTATTATGCTTAACTGCATAGCCAACATCAAATTTTAATTCTGCACAACAGTTGATTAGGATGAAAGTAAAATGTGTAACAAGCATTAGACAGAGTTCCCATACCTAGATCAATCTAACAGGATCAATCCAACTCCAAGGGGTTTCTCACTAAATTGCTTTCAGCTTAAGCCGCTTAGGATTTTGGCTTGCCAGTGTCAGTAGGCATGACAGACAGCTAAGCCACTTACACTGATTGCAATTTAGCGAGAATCCCCTTGGATATAGATCAATCCACAGTTAGCGTGATAGGGTCTAGAAATGGTCCCTAAGGCTTCAGGCTGATAGGAGTTTAAGTTCATACTTCGGAAATGCCAGAATGAGAATAAGTGAAAATTTCACAAATAAAATTGCTAAAACTCAATCAAAAAAAAAAAAAAAAAAAAAAAAAAAAAACTAGCAATATATATATATATAATTCAATAGAGCTGTTTTTCTAATTTCTATCTCAAACAGTTGACGGCATTATACACTTTATTCATTTTTTGGCCAAAACAAACAGTTATTATCCCTTTAACTGCAAAGTCAAGTTGCAAATATTGCACAACAGGTAGTATCAATAAAAGTGAACTGTTACAAGCATAAGGCTTCAGGCCCATGAGAGTTCAAGCCCACACTTTGAAAATGCCAGGATGATAAAACTTCATAAAAAAATTATAAATTTGATTTAAAAAAAAATAATAGTCCAATAAAGCTGGTTTTCTAATTTGAGCTGCATGTTAATCCTAAGAATCATTCTTGTAAGTTACAAATATAAAAAAAATACTAGTAACAAAGTTTTTTTTCCATAACGTTTGTGGTGACAGTGCATAAAGTAAGTTTTTTGTGGTCAATTTTGATACAATATTACTTAATGATTAACTGTATAAGAACCACCAATTTTTAATTATCTACCATTAATAACATGGACATTTAGAAAATTTGACTTCCACTGGGCTACATGCCCGTGGGAGTTCAAAGTCCCCCACTGAAAATGCCAATATGCGAAAGATAAAAATTTCACAAAAATGTACAACAGAATAACATGGTAAATTAGTAAATAAGATTACAGTTTCAGGACCATATGTGAGAGTTCAAATTCACATAATGAAAATCCCAATATGTGAAAAATGATGACAGTGCATAAAATAATAATATTATATAATGTTGAAAGACATAAAAACCAACACAACTGCTAATGTGGAAATACAGAAAATGCACAGAGCTTCTGGTGGATGGGAGTTAAAAGTGACATCTTGAAGATGCTAGTGTTTGAAAAATAATTTAAAAAAAATGTAAAAGAAAATATAACAAAAAATTCCGGTAAAGCTGCTATTCAAACTTTTAATCTAGCTGTATAATTAAATTTTTCACAAATCGACATTTTCAAGGTGTGACTTTGAACTTCTATTGGCTTGAAGACCTTTGCTAGTCACATTTTCTGAATATACATGATACTTTTTTACTTACTTTATTAACAAGGCAGCAAAGCTGTCAAATGTACAGACAAAAAGCAAGNGTCCAACTTGGGTCGCTGTCTAAAATTATTCGATTTTTTTTTTGGGGGGGGGAGGGGGAGGGATTCCTCAATCAAGACTTGATTTTAGATACAATTTATTTCGGTACATTTTTGTACTTGTTTTCCATATGTTAAATGAGTCATCTGCTCAATTTTAAGAAATTCTTATTGAAAGGAGGAGTTCAAATTTTATTATTAAAAGTATAAAATGTTATACATATTAAAAATATATATTAATTTAAATATATTATGTCCATATGATAAATTTGAGTCGTCTGTTCAATTTAAAAAAGTTCTTATTAAAACGAGTTTACATTTTATTATTAACAATATGATACAATTTAAATATAACAAACCTCAAACCTTTAATCTGTTAAATAAAAATATCTGACATCCAAGTGGGTTGCTCTCTCAGTGGTAAAATTAAATATGTTACATTCTTTATATATCTCCTAACAACTCCATTTATTAATTCCTTGCCATAGGCAGGTTGAAGCTGCATAGTGTTCTGTTTGAGAATGATCAAACAGTTTGTTCCAAGCCCTGTATGTGAGCAAGTGAAAGACTTAAGAAAAGTTGCACTTTCCCTGTTACAATCATTGGATTCTGATAGGAATTTTACCATTTTGCTTTTCTTGCCTATTCTCACTTGATTTTTGTCATCAAATAATTATATCCAACAACTTGATTGCATCTGTTAAGGGCAGCAGCTTAACATGTTCAGACATACTTCATACATTTTTTGTCCTTGGTGAACAACATACTGCATACATGCCTAGGATCTTCCTTAGCAAACTGTACCACGTCCAAAATATATTTCAAGTCTTCATCAATCCCTTACCTTAAAAAAGTAAATATGAATTTCGAGGTTAGTTATAATTTAAACTTCAATGTGAATTTTAAAATATTCATATAAATTACTTCTCCATAAGTTAACAATTATACATTCACCTCACCACTGACCTTACTCTCAGGTCAGTTGAGGATGTTAATCACTGCAAATTTTACTAAGACCATACCATTCATTGTTTATTCTGTTTATCACACCACAAATAATGTCACAGTGGTAAATGCCTAGTCTGACTTACTTTTGTCCACAATACTGGTACTTCCTGGTCAGGAATGAAAGGATGAAAAATGGTGTACAAAATCCTTAAGTACGAAAACCTCTCCATGCTTAATCCTAGGATCCATAGATATAAAGTCATCCAGATTATTTGTACACTCTGAAAAGCAAACAAAATGAACCATTTATACTGTAAATCTATTTCTGCTGCATGCATGAAAGATAGATGTAGTTAAATATGTTTCAGAGGCTTCCCATCAAGAACATAAAAACTGGACCCATTCCTTTCATTATATTATTGCTGGGTGTTAAAAGATAAAAAATTACTCTGTGATTTAAATATATTTTGAACAAAATTATGGACATTGGCTTACCTTCTGTTTTTATACAAGGGTAATCAGGTGGTGGCATTTTCCACTCCCCATCTGAGAACATATGAGATCTATCAGAAGCAAAGGTTTCTAAAAATATTTTTGCTGGGATAACTCTGAAATACCTGTAAGGAAAGAACAAACGAATTTTTCATTATTTACATAGAAAAGAAATGGGAGGATAAAGAAGCACAACGTACTTATGAATGAACATAAATAAACAACTGGACAGAGAATCAAAATTACTGCAAATTACTAGCTTGTGACACAGAACAGTGGAATATCTTTGTTGGTCCCCTAGATGCCAGCTGGCATAAAAGGAACTGAAGAAGATGGGTTCACATCTGAAATTAGTTGTTAACTAGTTATAACCATAGTGTTAAACAACTGTAAGCTGTCAAAATCACAATTTTTTTAATATTCATCATCAGTCCTTAAACTCTTAAATTAAAACAAGGCAGCAAAGCTGTCAAATGTACAGTCAAAAAGCAGAAAATAAAAATGCACAAAATAGGATACTGTCAATTCTGATGCAATAATGTATTATGCTTAACTGCATAGCCAACATCAAATTTTTTAAAATTCTGCACAACAGTTGATTAGGATGAAAGTAAAATGTGTAACAAGCATTAGACTGAGTTCCCATACCTATATCAATCTAACAGGATTAATCCATGCAACTCCAAGGGGTTTCTCACTAAATTGCTTTCAGCTTAAGCGGCTTAGGATTCTGGCTTTCCAGTTTCAGTAGGCGTGACAGACAGCTAAGCCACTTACACTGATTGCAATTTGGCGAGAATCCCCTTGGAGATAGATCAATCCACAGTTAGCGTGATAGGGTCTAGAAATGGTCCCTAAGGCTTCAGGCTGATAAGACTTAAAGTTCATACTTTGGAAATACCAAAACGAACAGTTATTATCCCTTTAACTGCAAAGTCAAGTTGCAAATATTGCACAACAGGTAGTATCAATAAAAGTGAACTGTTACAAGCATAAGGCTTCAGGACCATGAGAGTTCAAGCCCACACTTTGAAAATGCCAGGATGATAAAACTTCATAAAAAAAATTATAAATTTGATCTAAAAAAAATGATAGTCCAATAGAGCTGGTTTTCTTATTTGAGCTGCATGTTAATCCTAACAATCATTCTTGTAAGTTACAAAAATAAAAAAAAATACTAGTAAAAAAGTTTTCTTTCCATAATGTTTGTGGTGACAGTGCATAAAGTAAGGTTTTTGTGGTCAATTTTGATACAATATTACTTAATGATTAAAGGGATAATAACTCTTCGTACGATATCTATATTTCACAATAAAACCATTGTGAACAAGTCATAGAAATATAATATATTCTGTTTTACCACAAAAACGGCAATTATAGCTATTATTCTGATATCTGAACTTGTCTTCAGATCACTTGACCTCCATTGATGGCTGTACTCTGTTATAATCTCTTAAGAGATTTTAACAAAAAAACAAACTTTTTAGAAAAAAACCAGGGACTAACTTTGAATGTAAAAATGGATTCATTAACCATTGGTAAGTATGGGAAAATTGTTGTTTACTCCAGGAAAATTCATTTTTTGGTCAAAACGAAGAGTTATTATACCTTTAACTGTATAAGAACCACCAATTTTTAATTATCTACCATTAATAACATAGACATTTAGAAAATTTGACTTACACTGAGCTTCATGCCCGTGGGAGTTCAAAGTCCCACACTGAAAATGCCAATATGTGAAAGATAAAAATTTCACAAAAATGTACAACAGAATAACATGGTAAATAAGTAAATAAGATTACAGTTTCAGGACCATATGTGAGAGTTCAAATTCACATAATGAAAATCCCAATATGTGAAAAATGATGACTGTGCATAAAATAATATTATATAATGTTTAAAGACATAAAAACCAACACAACTGCTTATGTGGAAATACAGAAAGTGCACAGAGCTTCTGGTGGATGGGAGTTTAAAGTGACATCTTGAAGATGTTAGTGTTTGAAAAATAATTTTAAAAAATGTAAAATAAAATATAACAAAAATTTCCAGTAAAGCTGCTATTCAAACTTTTAATCTAGCTGTATAATTAAAATTTCCACATATCAACATTTTCAAGGGTTGAAGGCTTGAAGACCTTTGCTAGTCACATTTTCTGAATATACATGATACTTTTACTTTATAATTAAAAATTGATGGTCATTATGCTGTTAAGCATTATGTTATATTGCATGAAAGTTGAAGAAAACCCTATTTTGGACACTGCTGCCAGGATAGCGATTAAGGGAAAACCATGTTACTTATGATACTCAAACTTACTGAGAAGTTTCATAGGACTGGGGTGCAGCTTGTGTTGGAAAATCAGTGTGATGGTTTTCTGTTTTGGAAGCAATGCAGTTCTACAGAGTGCTATATAATGGTACTGTATGGATGGCGGTCAGTTATTGCCCCTTGGGTAAATTCAGGATTATAAAGTAATTTGCCTACTCAATTTTCAAGTGGCCAATAAATGAGATTACATAAAACACACATCAAGATTTCATTGTAAAGTCCCATAGGTTTAGCCCTCTTAACTGTGTCACATAATTAGGAATCAGTGATAATTATGCAGGTCAATGTTGTTTAATATTGAAAATAAGTTTATAAATCAAGAAAAAATTTGTGTAACAGCAAACACTAACATTAATGGTAAAGATGAATAACAGTGCCTAATGTTCTCAAACTTAATAGGGTTATTCATATCATGTTAATAGTTCTCACAAAAAAAAAAAAAAAAAAAAAAAAAAAAAAAAAAAAAAAAAAACACTATATAATTTCCAGAAAAGTTAATTGATAAAACAAGTTTTCCAACTGAAGCTACATTTTAGTCCTATGCAACTTTTCTGTAAGTTTGAGAAGAGTAAGTGACATGGTTTTCTTTTAATGGTCACAATGGAGGCAGTGCCCAAAATAGGGTTGTCTTCAATTTTGATGCAATATTACATAATGCTTAACAGCATAATGACCATCAAATTTTGATAATAAAATAAAAGAATCATGGATATTCAGAAAATGTGACATAGGAAGGTCTTCAAGACCATGGAAGTTCAGAGTCACACCTTCAAAATGCCAAAATGTTAACAAGAGATAACTGTACTGAAATGATTTTCTTTCCATTTTCTACACCCTTTTTCACATAAAACAAAATAATCAATTTACTGTCATTTTAAATGATCAACTAGGAAAATTGCTGACAAAGGAAAAATATCAATAGAACAATTCTGAATGTCCAATTTGGTCCATTCTGAGATTCTGAACATGGTGAATGATTGAATCTGAAAAACTAAAGATTAAGTTTATTTCCATTTTTGACACTTTATTACACAATACACAATAACTGGTTTACCATCATTTTTATTCAATCAACTAACAATTTTGTTAAGATGCAGAAAATGTAAAAAAAAAAACTTTCCATATCTAATTAGTTCAAAAATGAGGCTGTTAACATGCGTAAGAATTAAATCTGAGGAAAAAACAAATTTATTTTAAATTTACAAAGAAAGGCATAACTTTACCAAAATTTATCCGATATAGCTTACTTTTGAACTTAATCTGTATTGCCGTAAGACTGATCACTCTTGTGAATTGTAAGACAATTGACCAATCGATTTTCCTTGAAATGTGTTATTGGTGTTGCATATATGCTGAAAAAAGTGAAAAAACAACATAACTTCCATAAAAATGGCCCGATCATGCTGATTTTTGAACTTGACCTGCGTATTATGAATATTCATCACTTCTGTAAGTTTTAAGCCAAAAGGTACAATCGTTTTTCACTTATCATGTTATCAGTGTTACATATATGCTGAAAAAAATGAAAAAAAAAAAACAACATAACTGCTATAAAAATGGCCGATCATGCTGATTTTCGAACTTGACCTGCCTATTAAAAATTTTCATCAGTCCTTCAAGTTTCACGCCAAAAGGTATAACGGTTCTTCACTTATCGCGTTATCGGTATTGCGTATATGTTGAAAAAAGTGAAAAAACAGCATAACTTCCCTAAAATTGACCCAATCATGATGATTTTCGAATTCAACCTGCATAGTATGAATATTTATCAGTTCTGTAAGTTTCAAGCCAAAAGGTAAAATGGTTTTCCACTTATTGTGTTATCGGTAAAAGTGCATGGCGACGATGACGGCGACGACAGACGCAGGTGTCTGTACATAACAATGGTCACATAAACAAAATGTTTAAACTTTACAACCTGATATATTTTTTCTGAAATCTGTTTTCTTGTCCCAAAGCTTTTTCCGCATATTCATCAAATGGGCAAGGAAAAGATAAAAGTGTGTCAAGGTCGTAGACAAAACTGGATGAAGTGGATTTCTGTACTAATATCACATGGTAATCCTGCAAGAAAAAGTGTTTCAGTTAATATGTTAAAACAATTATGTTCCTTACTCAATATTTCCATCATTGGGCTTTCAGTTAAAATGAATTCAAGTAAAACTAGATAGTGTCGATGGGTAGCCATCGCATATCCCCGCACTTCCCCATATTATCAAGAGCTGCTCACCCGTAGGGACCACTTACCACACACGCACGTACACATGCACACACACACATCACTGCTTCATCCGAAGGTATTTAAAAATATAAATGTGAAAATATCTATAATGTTAAAAAAATTTAGAATCAACCAACCCCCAGGGACAGCCCAACCCCCTGTTGCACTAAAATTCAAAGTGCCCATGTACATCTCTGATGATGGGAATACTAATCACCAAAATTTCAACTTCCTACCTGCAATGGTCTAGGAGAAAATAGCAGAAACTACAATGTGAAAAAATTCAGAATCAACCAACCCCGGGCACAGCCCAACCCCCCATTGCACTAAAATTCCAAAGTGTATATGCACATCCCTGATAATGTATCTTCCAATTCCCATAGTTTCAATTTCCTATCTCTAAAGGTCTAGGAGGAGATAGCAGAAATTACAATGTCATAAGTATTTAGAATCAGTCGCCCCCAAGGACAGCCCAATCCCCTGTTGCACTAAAATTCCAAAGTGCCCATGCACATCCCTAATGATGGGTCAACTATTCACCAAAGTTTCAGCTTCCTAACTCTTATGGTCTAGGAGGAGATAGCAGAAATTACAATGTCATAACAATTTAGAATCAACCACCTCCTGGGGACAGCCCAACACCCTGTGGCACTAAAATTCCAAAGTGCCCATGCACATCCCTGAAGATGGGTCTACCAATTCCCAAAGTTTCAACTTCCCACCTGCAATGGTCTGGGAGCAGATAGCAGAAATTACAATGCCATAAGAATTTAGAATCGACCACCTCCCAGGTTACATCCCGACCCTCTGTTGCACTAAAATTCTTAAGTGTCCATGCACCTCCCTGATGATGGGTGTACAAATCACTAAAGTTTCAACTTCCTAACTCTAATGGTCTAGGGCAGATGGCAGAAATTACAATGTCTTAAGAATTTAGAATCAACCATCCCCCAGGATAGAGCCCAACCCCCTGTGGCACTTAAATTCCAAAGTGCCCATGCACATCCCTGATGATGGGTGTACAAATCACTAAAGTTTCAACTTCCTAACTCTAATGGTCTAGGGCAGATGGCAGAAATTACAATGTCTTAAGATTTTAGAATCAACCACCCCCCAGGATAGAGCCCAACCCCCTGTGGCACTAAAATTCAAAAGTGCCCATGCACATCCCTGATTATGGGTGTACAAATCACTAAAGTTTCAACTTCCTAACTCTAATGGTCTAGGGCAGATGGCAGAAATTACAGTCTTAAGAATTTGGAATCAACCACCCCCGGGGACAGCTCAACCCCCTGTGGCACTTTAATTCCAAAATGCCCATGCACATCCCTGATGAGGGAACTTCCGATTCCCATAGTTTCAATTACCTATCTCTAATGGTCTAGGAGGAGATAGCAGAAATTACAATGTCATAAGAATTTTGAATCAACTACCCCCCAGGGACAGCCCAACCCCCTGTTGCACTAAAATTCCAATGTGCCCATGCACATCCCTGAAGATGAGTCTACCAATTCCCAAAGTTTCAACTTCCTACCTGCAATAGTCTAGGAGGAGATAGCGGAAATTACTAACAAACAGATGCACGGACGCCCGGACTGGCGGGATAATGATTTCCAACTTTTGTCCCAAAAGTGCGGGAATAATTAGAATGACAAGCCTTCCAATCAAACATGAAGTATACTGGGTTGATGACTGAATTTTCCAAAGTGCCCTTCTATAGGGGTGCCTCATCTGTCATCTACATTAATAATGCTTCAATAATAAATGATCTTAATTTTTGTTTTACAGTATCATTTATCCACTATAATAAACAAATATCTATTGTACTTTTAATAAAACAATGGAATAATGATTACAAATAAGACTTCATTAAACATAATCATACACTGAAACAAGTGAAACCATGTGTAGCTCTTAGAAAATGATTCCCTACCCAAACCACTGCATCATTTGGGTTGTCAGCTGCTCTTTGCATCCAGATTGGTATCTAAAATGTGGATAGAAATCATTTTTTCAACTAACCAATTAAAGTATTGATCAATGAAACAAAAGTGAAATGCCAGTGAATATCAATTTATTAAGTGAATATTTTTACATACTTAGCTTTGTATATGTATAAATATGGGAATATTATGAAGGCTTTAAACATACATATTAAAAATTTTACTGTAAGTATACAAGTTGATGCTTTTATTGTCTCAAATTAAAATCTGATCCAAAAGGTTTTCATGTTTCATGTTTCAAAAAACTAGCTTACTGTCTTGTTCTTGTTGGAAATGAAAACAATGTAAAAACAATCAATCTCTTCTGGGTGTGTATGTTTCACATGCTCACATAACTTCCATATGTTTTCCTCACTGTAATGAATAGAAACAACTTAGAAGTCGTAATACAAAATACCCAGATGATAATGAAAAATAATTAATTTCAAGACAAACAAATCTAAAAAAAAAAAATATCAAGATATTTACAAAGTATATTCATAAATTGTTGTAGACAAAGGACAACAAACTGGCTCAACTAGACAATGATTGGACCATAACCACACCTGGACTGTACAAAACTTTGTATTTATATTTAGCAAATAATTTTCAATATAAATGATACACTCACAGTGAAGGGTGAGATAAAATGGTATTCATATTATTGTTATTACATAATTTGTACAATATTGCTATGAGTGTGGTATGGTGCACAAGGTTAATTACACATGAAGTACATGTAGTTGAAGTACTAAAGACTAAATTATGGGGGGGGGGGGGGGATCTCGATAATCCAAAGGTTCATTGGTCTGAAGGTTCCTTGGTCCAAAAATCGTTTGTACGCGCCTCTGATGAACTACATGTACTTTATAACATGACGTATTATAAGGAGTTACCGCCTACAGTAAAAAGTTATTAAGTGAAGTTACCGAAATTGCCTGTGAATTATTTAATGTCTCCGACATATTCGTATTTTTCTTTTTTACACATGGTATCTAAACGAAAGTTTGGCCCGCTAAAGTTTTACTAAAAGTGAAGGTTACGATCGATTTTACCAGTAGCAACTAGTGTAAACACATTTCTCTCTCTTTGGAATGATATTGGACATCAGGCACGCTGAGTAAGACAACAATGTTTGGAAGAATGTTGCAGTTTTGTGTACAGTAAAGCTTCTCAACCAGCTAGGCGTCAAGGTTTTTCGTAGTCAACCCGAACCATCGAACCTAACCCTGTCAACGGGCGCAGACATATTCGAGATCTCGTTTGCAAGACGGCTTCCAAAAGTGTGCTACACTGCCGCCATCTATCACTAAGCAAGTTGTTTATAAACCGCCATTTTGAAAAGTCTTCCTTTGTTTCCAACAGCATTGTGTAAGGATTTTAAGCCCAAAAAGTAATGATAAAAATTAAATAACAAGAGAAACAGTTGCATCCAAGCGAAACATGAGCTTGTCACTCAGGTAAGGGGATTTTCACGAATGCATCACTGTCACGTAACTCTTACAATGCACAAAGCGAAAAAATTATGGAAAATACTAGTATTTCCTTC